GACACGCAGAGACTTGCTGTCTCTCTCTCTACACCCCCCCCAACGACCTCTATACTCTCTGCCTCTTGAACGTGTGGCTACCTCGCCACCCACCTAGCCTTAAGACTCTTGGTCTGCGCAGCCAGAGTCTCCACATGCTTTCTGCTGGTTCAGTCTGCACGCTCCCTTTTCCTAGCATAATCCTCATTTTTCTAGAATTCCCTTATTTTTCCATTTGGAAGACTTCATCTCTTCAGGATCAGATAATGTATTGCCAAACCAACGAGTATCTTGCTAATGCAAATGTGCTCATTGTCTATCTTTATTTCCTAGAATCTGTATAAGTGTGTATGTGCTTCTGTATTGCTTGAATGATAAAACTCTTTCAGTAAAAGACAGAGGAATTTCAGACAGGCGATATAATCCGGAAGAGGAACGGTTCCCAAACGGTTTCTGGTCTGTCATTTCAGACAGAACCGTTTGAGAACCGGTTCCCTTCTGGAATATATTTGTCATTTCATACACAATTGCTTCTGTCCCGTTTAGGAAATGGGGCTGAAGCGTTTTACCTGTCAACCGCTTCCAAGTACTCCTCAGTTTCCTCTCCCGGTTCCAATGCGCTTTTTCCCACCGTTTTTCGCCCACGTGGGCAATCTCCAGCTTTTTTTTAAACGTTTGCTTTAGAGCGTTATAGCGCTATAATGGAATAGCATTACATCAATCCCATTGGAATGCATGGAGTGTTTTGTTCTATATCAAGGTCCAAATTGGAATGCCAATCAGAATGATCAGGTCAAGCCAATTGTACATTACACTTGATAAAACTGCATACAACTTAGCAACATGTTGCTTCAGATTCAGCTCTTTACCGGAAGGGGAAAACCATGTGTGAAATGGCAGCCCTATACCCGTTCACTTCAAAACGGATCATTACTGGCTTGAAACCGGGTGAAATTGGGTAATGTGAAATTCCCCATTATATTATACTGAATACAGTCTCCGTGTCTGTTACTGGTGACTACTGGAAAGGTGGGACCTCTGTATACAACGGTGTTCGCTCCCTAATTTGCCTATTGCCAATTAATAATAATAACTTCCCCAATATTAATTAAGAAATTAAGGCAATTTGGCTAGCACTATGACTATCCTCTACAAGGTGTCATGCAGCCTGAGCACCACCCCCACATGGGGGGCACCTTAGTCAGCCAGCTTTGACACCTATTACCGAATAAATCAACGCTGCCACATATCCAGTACAGGGTTAGATCAAGCCAATTGTACATTACGCTTGTTAAAACGGCATACAACTTAGCAACATGTTATCTGCTCAGGACATCCTCAAGCACCCAGTCTTGCCACCAAGATGGGGAACAAAATCTATTCCATTCCTGTTAACAATGTCTCTGTGTTAAGTGCCGTCAAGTCACTTCCTACTTATGGTGACCTTATGAATTAATGACCTCAAAAACATCCTATCGTTAACCGCCTTACTCAAGACTTGCAAATTGAGGGCCGTGGCTTCCTTGATCGAGTCCGTCCATCTCATGCTGGGTCTTCTTCTTCTGCTGCCTTCAACTCTTCCTGGCATTACTGTCTTTTTCCAGTGACTCTTTCTTCCCATAATGTGACGAATGTTCAACAGCCTCCATTTCATCATTTTAGCTTCTAAAGAGAATTCAGGCTTCATTTGATCTAGAACCCACTGATCTCTCTTTTTGGCGGTCCATGATAGCCATAAAACTCTCCTTCAACATCACTTTTCAAAGGGACCTACTTTCTTCCTGTCAGCTTTCTTAACTGTCCAGCTTTCGCATCCATTCATATGGGGAACACTGTGGTGTGAATTATCTTGATCTTGGTCACCAGCGACACATCCGTACACCAGTTCGGTATAGTGGTCAGGAGCGCGGACTCTAATCTGGGAGAACTGGGTTTGATTTCCCCACTCCTCCGCATGCAGCTGCTGGTGTGACCTTGGGTCAGTCACAGTTCTCTCCTTTCCTGCCCTATGTTTTAATTGCTAGGTTTTTTTGTTTTTATTATATATGTATTTTACTTTTGGCTTTAATTGGTTGCATTATGTTTTATAATGATCTGGGGTTTTTTAGCTGCCTTGGTGGCCCTGGTTGGGAAGAAAGGTGGGCTATACATTTATTTGTGAATAAATAAGAAGAAAATGTTGATGAATCTGTTTATGAATAAAATTAACCTATGTAAATATCTCATTCATTTTATTTAAACTTTACATTACGGAGTACCACTTGGTGTACACAATGTATCAGCCATAAGGTTACAAAAGTCACAACCTTGAGAGCCAGTTTGGTGTAGTAGTAGTTAAGTGTGCGGACTTTAATCTAGGAGAATTGGGTTTGATTCCCCACTCCTCCACTTGCACTTGGCTGGATGACCTTGGGCAAGCCATGGTTCTGTCAGAGCTGTTCTTGAAAAAGATCAGTCTCTATCAGAGCTCTCTCAGCCCCACCTACCTCACAGGGTGTCTGATGTAAGCCGCTCTGAGACTCCTTTGGGTAGTGAAGGGCGGGGTATAAATCCAATCTCTTCTTCCTTTTTCTTCTTCTTCTTCTTGTGTTACACCACAGATCAACACTATGCATAACATTTTCAACAGTTTTAATCTCATTTTTAGGAAATATGAAAAAGGCTGCCAGTTTTTGGAAGGCCACAGCACACTCCACCAAAATCCACCCACTGGGTTGCATTCCCTTCATGCGAGCATTCTCCACGTACAAATATATGGAAACCCAATGCCTCAAAACACAGCTAATTTTCACATCTGTCCATAATTCATTCAGAAGCCCTAACACCGAAAAGATTCTAAGGGAAGGGCTGTTTTATTCAGTTGCAATTGGATTCCCCATAAACAATGGGCCATGGCCAGTTCCGGTCCCTCTGGCACACGTACCTTTAATAACAAGCCTCCAGGAGAAAAAACTGTCAGGAAAAGATGCAAACCCCACCCCCCTGATTTCCTTCTTCTTGAGACAAGGCAGAGCCGGAAACCAGTGATCTCTTCCTTTTCCAGACTCAATTTTCCCTTGTCAAGTCACAGGTGGCTTACGGCAACCCTGTAGGTCAGATGTTCAGAGGTGGTTTGCCCCTGCATGCCCTGGCATCACAATCCTGGATTTTCCTTTGTGGTGTCCCACCCAACCTGGTCCAACTGTGTTTAGCTTCTGAGATCTGACAAGATTCGGGTACCCTGGGCATAACTCACACACACACACACACACACACACACACACACACAGACGTTTATTGGCATTACATCACAAATCCAAATAAAATACACTGGAATCTGTGGTCAGAAAAAGCATCTCCTCCTAGAGACCTGGTAGATGTAATTATGTTGGTCTTATTTGAGGCTAAAAGTATAAAGGTCTTACGATCCTCGGATCGACCCTCCAAAGGTAGAAGAAAAGGCTTTAAAAATACAGCACGAAGATCATCATAACTCTATTCTGCATTCCTTTGTCACACGCACTACTTGTCTGTGTCCAAAATAAAGTACACGAAGCAGCCAATAATCCGAATGAATTTTGCACGTATTTGTTCGGCACGTACGGTATCCGCTTTGCGGTGCTTGAACGGAAAGCACTGTGAAGGAGACGCAGCTTGGGAAGCCAGTCTCTGGCCCCAGTCACACGGCAAAGTTGCTGCGGGAGAGGCACGGGATTTTTCCGGGCGCGATCACACCCCAACATCTGGGAAGCGTAGTGCTCCTGTGGCGAACCCGTGGCTCCCCGCCGAAGGTGTGGATTAAAAAACTAGTACTTACGAGGTACTAGTTTCCGGAAACCGCGGGCCAAGGGCGGGCGTCTGATCGCGTTTCCAGTGGACTTATGTGGCATCCGACGCCCGTCTCCGCAGGTTGCGCAACAGCGCCCAACAGCGCATGCGCACAAAGAGCGATTGCTAGTGCGATCTTCTGTGCCACGCTGCAGGATACCCGTCTGGTTGGCATCTCCCCCAACCACGGGACCTCGACCGGGACGTGTGCTCGGGCGGCCACGCGTTAGTTTCTTCTGGGGCAATTAGCCACACCTCCCCCCTGCGATATCCAGCCCATGTGACCGGGGCCAAAGTTAGGCAACTGCACACTCCCAAACTTTGCTACATGCTTTCTTCAAATAGGAAGTCTGGCAGGCTCTCACCAAAGGAACTTGATGGACTAAAATCATTGCCCTTTCTTTCTAGTAACTTATTAGTCTAAGCACTCCACATTCACAAGGTAATTTCTTCTTCGTGTCTACATGGCTGAAGACCCACCGCTTACAAACTTACCCAGAACACCTTTCTGATAACAGTTCTCCCAAAATAAATTCCACATTACTGCCGGTCTATTATGCACTCTAGGCAGTCCCCCAACACAGGACTTCTCCGGTTAGCCAGAGTTGATTCCAGAGCTGAACAAGGTCTGTATGTGATGTTTTGTTATTTGCAAAAAAACACGAACCAGAGTACAAAGTCTTATGCAGAATGTTTGAGAACCGCTGCCATAAATCAAAGTGCAGGAAACTGCAGAAACCAAACACAGCTACAACAGTGGACGCTACTCCAAAAAGCCTCAGCCAGTTTGCTAGAATCCCATTTCACGATCTGCCACTTTTTACAAGCAGGGAAGCCCAAAAGGAGTAGCATTTCACCACCAACTCAGTCCACCTCCTTCAGAAACTACAAGAAACTTCCCTGTATTTAAAAAAAAAAATCTGCTACGATTAAAGCTTAGCTCTCTTTTCTGAAATGTCACCCTGTCCGAGCACAGCAGATAACCATCTCCGCTCGCCAGCCGTTCCCCCCAAACAGTATCAGACCGCTTGCTCTCACCTTCAGAAGATCTACACCGCTCTGCCCCACACCTCTCTCTCAGCTCCTCGTTCGTTCCACCTACTGTCACCTCTTCTGACGTTTCTGGCCCAAACGGGGTTTTCGCGGTTCCTCCTCTGCTTCTGCTTCCTGTGTACCAAGAGCCCTCCCTCTCCTTCAAATCCCTCAAAACTCACTTCATGCCGCTCGTTATCCGTCACTAATCTCAGCTCCGGTGCTATCTGCTCCCACTCTCGCGCCTAATTATGTCGAAGATAAAACACAGACATGGGGGAGAGAAAGAAACAAGTTATCACAGGTGCCTCTCCACCAGCTGACTCCATTCGCGCCACTTTTATATTTATCTTTTTAATACTACTTGCCCTCTTCCGCCTGCCTCAGTTTTTGTTACAGTTTTCCTTTGATGGAACATGTCTTAGTTACCTAAATACCTTATACCCTAAACATACTTATTCCTAATTTCTTTTGCTATGGATACTTGCACACTGGGCTCTTCCACAAGTTATGCTTAAACCACTTTTTTTTAAGTGTACATATATGAACAATATCACAATGATTCAAACATTAAACACCTTATAGAGCTGCAGTTGTCACGGCTATTCTTTTATCTATTTACTCCCCTTTATACCCCACCTGTTCCCCCCCAATTGGGACCCCCAAAGAGGTTTACATCATTCTCCCCTATTTCATCCTTACAACAACCCTGTGAAGTTGGCTGAGAGCGTGTGACTGGCCAATGGTTACCCGGCAAACTTCTATGGCAGAGTGGGGATTTGAATCTGGATCCTCTAGATCCTAGTCTGAAACTCTAACCCTTGCACCACACTGACTCTCAGTTGAGAGCCACTGCTTTCAGAGGTGTCAAACTCATTTGTAACAAAGGCCGGATCTGACATAAATTTCACTTTGTTGGGCCGGGCCAAGAATGCCATAAATGTAATGCCAGGTATCGGAGCTATAAACTGCATAAAGGAAAGCGGCTGATAAGTGGAATGAGCTCCCAGAAGAGATCAGGGCCCTGCGGGACCTTAGGCAGTTCCGCAGGGCCTGCAAGACGGAGCTCTTCCGCCAGGCCTTCAATTAGGAGGAGCCGCCTCGATAGAGAACCCTGTCCCCTGAAGCCAACAGAACAGCCTATGCCAGCTTTATGGGCTGACCGCTAGGACGGCATACTGAAGGTTGGCCGCCATCCTTTTACAATTTCTTTATTTATTAGTATCATCAATGTTAGCACCTTTTAATGTTAGAATGTTTCATATGATTTTTAGGATTATCTAAACTGTCTATTGTGTGTTTTATTCTTTCTGTAAGCTGCCCTCAGCTGGCTCTGGCTGGGAAGGCGGGGTATAAACCTGATAATAAATAAATAAATAAGCTCTGAGTTGGTGTATCCTCACTGCAAGGCCCTATGGGTTGGGAGGGGGGTGCAAAGAAAAAACCCCTATGGGAAGACTGGAGAACCAGCAGCGCAGCACTAGGCAGACGCTCCCATGCTGCTTGACTGCTGCAGAAGAGGTTGTTCCGCCATGCTGAAGCCACAACAGGAATGGCTCCACCCACTCCCCCCCCCCAAGCAGTCTCCTGTTCCCTCCCTTGCGCTAGCTGCCAGTTCTGGCCCCCGGGCCTTATGTTTGACACCCCTGGTACTATTATGGATACCTAGATCACATCTGTTTCTTTGAGACTGTGCACGCTCAGATACAGGGGGGAAATTCCCATGTTAGATAGCCACAAGGGCTACACACACAATATGCCACCTAAGTTTAGACAAAGTTTAAATGTCATTTGCACAAAGGAGCCCCGCCAAACAAGAACTCCCCTGCGACTATGCTATACTGGTTCATCTGCCAGTTTTCAAGTATGCATTTCACACCTGACAGCTAAGGAATGCCTCCAATCTTACTTTCAGGTAAAGGTTTCCTTTGCTCGGAAGCCAGTCGAATCCAACTCTAGGGAATCCAACTCATCTCCGTTTCCAAGCCGAAGAGCCAGCGCTGTCCAAGACGTTTCCGTGGTCATGTGGCCGGCATGACTAGACGCCGAGGCACACAGAACACTGTTACCTTCCCACCAAAGCGGTACCTATTTATCTACTTGCAATTTCTTGCTTTCGAACTGCTAGGCTGGCAGGAGTTGGGACCAGAGACGGGAGCTCACTCCGTCATGCAGCACTCAGGTCTCGAACTGTTGAACTACTGACCTTCCAGTCTGCAATTTCAGCGTCTTAACCGCCTGAGCCGCCACAGCCCCAATGTTACTTTTAGAGACACATAAAAGTGTGTTTTGACATTACAGGATCTCCAAGAGAAGACGCTCAAACTCTGAATCTGTTGCATTCAGATGCAAAAATGACCACGGGAGTGGCATTATCCTGTGGGGCAGCAAAATTAAGGTCCCCTGGGGTCTCCTCTGGCCACTCAGGCAACTCTCGATCAAACCATCTCGATCAAACCAGAAGTGGTAAAGACCGGTAAGGAAAGAGTCTAAACTATTCCCAGCCAAGAGATGCATTGAGGTTGTCCCAGTGATTTGCAAGAAGTGAAACGTCAAGACAATCTAGTGGTTCCTCCACAGACGAAACAGCTTAGATGTTGAAGGAGGCCAGGAAAGGTGGGGCAAAGAGAAACAGATTCCCGCCTATCACCCTCAATGACCAAATCTGCACAATATTTTTATGCCCAATCCTGGCTAAAAAAAGAGCACCCTGGATCTCAAGGGCTAGTAGCCATTTGGCAGCACTGAGCCTGCTTTGGCGGGGAGGGGGCAGGGTATACATCGAATAAATAAATGAATATAAATAAATAAATACTTAGGGATATGTGTAAGAGCAGACCAACCTCGACAGTACGAGACAAGTGAGGAACACAGCCCCCAACACAGCTTTATGAAAACAAGGACATACTAAAAAGAGCTATAACAAATTACATTTGAAAGACCACTAAAAACCCTCTTCCTTCTCTGCTTGGGGTTCGTAATATGAACTCATATGAAGGTAAGTCTAGTTTACAGTAGAAGTTACATGAGACCACAGCGACAAGGTTAGATCTGGTGGAGCAGTACAAAACTAGCTGTTACTACAAAAGCCTGATTTGAATAAGCCAAGTACCTTACATAGCTTCTACCATGTGATAGTCCACTTCAGGCAGTGTGTGGGCTTCTACTGGGATACTCAGCAGGTACAGACTGCTTTCTCAAGGGCCACCAAAAATCCCAGAACACCTGTCACGGGGCTGGATCCTAGGATGCGGTTCCATTGGTGTCCAGTCATTGCTCTGGCACAAGGTCCCTCCTGCTGATACCAGGTGTTTTTTCTCAGCAGAAGGGCCCCTGTGCTGGAAGAACACATGGATGTCAACAGCACGAAACTATCAGATCCAACCCAGGGTTCTGGCCTTTTTCATTAACATTCTTAGGACAAAGATATGGATATGCAAAGTTTCCTCTTCCTTTTTAGCCCCTAAGGAGGAAGATCCCTTGAAGAATGAGCAACTGCTGTTAAGAAAAAGAAGGGTTGGTTTTGTACCCCACCGTTCGCTACACAAAGGAAGAGAAGAAGAAGAAGAGATTGGATTTATACCCTGCCCTTCACTTGGAGTCTCAGAGCGGCTTACAAACTCCTTTCCCTTCCCCTCCCCACAACAGACACCCTGTGAGGTGGGTGGGGCTGAGAGAACTCTGACAGAAACTGCTCTTTTTCAAGGACAGCTGTGCCAGAGCTTGTGACTGACCCAAGGTCACATCAGCAGGTGCAAGTGGAGGAGTGGGGAATCAAACCCGGTTCTCCCAGATTAGAGTCCGCACACTTAACCACTACAGCAAACTGGCTCTCGGGGCGGCTTATAATCACCTTCCCTTCCTCTCCCCATAACAGACACCCTGTGAGGTAGGTGGGGCTAAGAGAGCTCTGCGAGAGCTATGACTGACCCAAGGTCACCCAGCTGGCTTTATTTGGATGAATGGGGAATCAAAGCCAGTTCTCCAGATTAGAGTCTGCCGCTCTTAACCACGACGCCAAACTGGCTCTCTTAACTGCTGCTCCTGAATTGCGTAGCTGCTGTAGCCTCTAAAAATCTGGCATGAGATGTTTCCTTCCTACGGAGTTACCCTACAGAGCCTTGTCAGCCCAAAACATGACACATCTTCCTTTTGAAGTCTGAAAAAACACGTGGCCGAGATTTAGATAGCAACACATGGCCAAAGGAAGATATCAGCACACTGGTCCATCAAGCCCAGTATTGTCTACTCTAGCTAGCAACGCTTCTCCAGGAACAGGTCTTCCCCCAGCCCTGCAGCACCTTTAGCAGAAGGGGCTGGGGACTGTACATGAGGCCTTCTCCATGCCAAGGAGGTTCCCTACCACTGAGCCGTGGCGAAGCTAGACTAAGATTCAGCTTCACAGACCTGCCTTCTGACTGCCGGTAATGCTGGCAATCTGTAGTTCTCTAACAGTAGACAGCACTTTGGTTCAATCACAGCTAGAACACCCAGCGTAGAAGGCAGAAGTAATCCCGAGGACAGCAAAGAAGTGGGAGGGATCCATGACTCACATGCACAGCCAGCAGATCGCTGCCCATCTACAAGCAAAGGCTCTCAAGCTCACTCACAGCATGCCTCCCTGCACCAAGATCTGGCCCTCTGTAAACGTACATTCAAGTCTAGTAGCACCTCAGAGACCAACAAGAGTTTTGGAGTACAAGCCTTCGAGAGTCAAGGCTCCCTTCATCAGGTATGATGAGAGGGAGGGCAGGAAGGGTTGCCTCAGTGCTTAGTTCTCGCGGCCCTTTCTTACACGCCCAGGGAAATGCTGGTCGGCACTTTGGGTTAAGGAAGCCATTTTTTCTCCAGGCCAGTTTGACTGGGGATCCTGGAGGGTTTGGGGTTTTTTTGTCATCTTCTGGGCATGGAAAAGCAGTCATTTGGGGGGGGGTATTTGTGAATTTCCTGCATTGCGCGGGGGGCTGAACTAGATGACCCTGGAGGTCTCTTCCAACTCTCTGATTCTATGCTTCTAAGTTCACACCCCACATCCATTCCTGGTCTCCAAGGTGTTATTGGATTCAAATCTAGCTCTTCTACTGCAGAGCAACATGGCTGCCCTCTGAGACCAGGGGTCGTTTCGTAGAAAAAGAGCTAGGGGGATTCATTAGCATAACTCATTAGCATATGCCACACCCCCTGACATCAGGGGCCCGGCGGTGGACCTGCAAGGCCGGCGGGAGTGCGAGGAAGCCCCGCCAAGGCCCTCCCTGGCCCCAGGAAGGCAGGGGTGGGGAGAGGCGGGGAGGAAGCAACTTACTGCAGAGCAACATGGCTGCCCTCTGAGACTATCTGTACAAGTTGGCAATGATTGGAGAAGCTTGTGGTTGTTAGGCTAGGAGAATTCGGTCATCTCAGATAGGATTCTGGCAGGATATAAATTCCCTAAATCAATAAATCTCCTTTCCTCCTGCAGGGAAAAAACCCCCACAATTCCAGGCTGACCCGTGACAGATTTTCCTTCTAGCTGGTAGAGTTTGCAGCTGTTCCTGGAGGAGTGAAAGCTTTTGCTGGTACCCCATCGCTCCACTCAGCCAAGTCTGAAATCTTCCTCTAGATTAAGAAGACTTCCTCCACTGGAACAGCCTTTCCTGTTGGAAGGAAACTTCAAACTTTGCTGACCAGAGAGACAGGATACAGGCTTCTGTGGAAGCCTATTGAAAACACTTGCCTCCTGTGTCAAGGCTGATTTCTCAAGGTACCACACTTTGACCAAACATGAGTACAAGAGGATAAAAGAAAGATACAGGGATCTATTTACCCGGCTTTTACAGTGCTTCTTTGTGGATGGAAAGTATAAATAGTTTGACTTGGGGAAACCCGACGTGCGTAATTGCTCTGAATACATTAATGCGGAGTACTAGGTTGGTGATGTAATTTAGAGATCAGCTGAACCTTGTCTTACCTGCCCTTTGGCATCTTCTGGCATAGATTTGATATGCATCCTTTTAAGACACCGGATCACTCCGTCGTAAAACTGTACAGTGAAGGTTCCTAGGACAAAAGAGGAGCAGAGGTCATGGACATTAACACATCTCTCCCAACAACAGATTCAGCACATTTGGAAAGTGCAAAAAAAACCCCACAGGACAGAATCTCTCTCTTTTTAAAATCCCTTTTTACTTATTTACATACCCTGCAGAAGTCATGTCAAGTTTTAAAAGAAGAGTTAAGACGTGACTTTTGTAAAGACAACAATGAAGAATTCACAAAGCTGTCGAATGCATGAAAGATCACATGGTTCCATGTAACTGAATTTATCTCTACTAATGAATCGCTTCTAAATGGTTCATATCCTATCGATGTATTAAATGTTATAAACTCCTTTTTGTCGATGTTGTTGTTATGATGAGAATATATCGGTTCTATACTTGTCTTAAAAATTTATACGTTTTCTCTATCTGACTTGACTTACAAATTTTAGTCTTTAGAAATACTGATGCTGTAAACCTGTGTTTAAATGCAAGAATACGCTGGTTCTAGACTTGTTTTGTAAATTTATGTTTTCTTTGTTTGGCTTGGCTTACAAATTTTTGTCTCTATTTTTGAATGTTTCAAAGCTTTATGTTTTAATGATGTCCTCCTGCTGTTGTTTACTATTTCTGTAAGATGTATTGTTATGCAACTTTGTATTCTAGTTCTCTCAAAATAAAAATGTTAAATCTGGGGGGGGGGGGGATCAAATAACACTGGATGGGCCTTTGGCCTGATCCAACATTGGCGTCTCTTATGTTCTTAAGTTACTTCTACGGTTCTCAAATATTCGCAAAAACTATGATGAGAAGGATTTACAGTTGCGTTTTACTCCTGAGCAAGATGCAAGTATAGCAAGGATATGGATTCCTGACATAAACAGAGAGAACTTGGCAAAAGAGGCTCAGATCCTGAACCCTCTTTTGTTACAGGGTTAGTAGCCCTCTGACGCAAAGTGCGTTCCTCCAGCACTAGCTGCTTTTCAGCTCACTGAAGGACATCAGCGGGAGCAGAAGCCCTTAGTATCAGACAGGAGGACCACCCCTGCAACATTCGGCCGGACGGTGGCAGTGGTGCGCTGCGACTGAGACAATGCTGACGACATCAAGCGACGCCGAAAAAAAGGAATGCTGCCGGAACACGTCTGGACCTTACAGCCGACCAAACTCTGTCGACTACGAAATGTGTGTGATTTAAGGATACGTGTTGTCCTCCCTTACCCCCAGCATTGTTAGTCCCATGTGAAATTCAAGAGCAACTGTAAATCGCTCAGAGCCGGCAGCTCTGCATGGATTGAGCGATCAATAAATGGAAAGATTATTTATTTATTATTAAAAGGTGTGTAGTGAAAATGGAGTAAGGCTTAGGACCGAAGCCAGAGAGTTCTTAAACCCCTTCCCCAATACATTGCTTCACCATTAACGGGATTTTAGAGATCTGTTTTAGTGTTTATACCCTCTTTTTGCCCTGAAGGGACCCACAATAGCTCACAACAACAAAGAAACACAATACAAGTAAACCAGAATGAGTATACTAAATACCAGGTTATGAATTCATATTTTTTCCAGCAAAACAAGATGAAAGTCCAGTGGCACCTTGAAGCTTTACAACATTTATTCCTGCATGAGCTTTTGTGAGAGACAGCTCACTGCTTCAGATAGCATACTTCTGTGGAATTCTAACTTCTCCCCATTGTATCTGAAGAAGTGAGCTTTTTTCCAAGAAAGCTCACGTTGGAATATGTCACTCGTCTTTAAGGAGCCCATTGAGTTTCTTTTATATATATATATAATTTTTAAATTATTTTT